GAGAGGAGAGAGAGAGAGAGAGAGAGAGAGAGAGAGAGAGAGAGAGAGAGAGAGAGAGAGAGAGAGCATTCACATCTGTGGAATTTTTGGAGTGGTTTCACATATACCAAGACCACTACGTCAGAGTGGAATGGATAGTTGTTGCTTTAATATCATGTTCAAAATTTGGGCACCATCCATAGTAAACCCACAATGGTATTAATTTAGGATGAATTAAAATATGTATATAGTCAATATGTGAGAGTATATTAAAGGGCAAAGTGAGACTTGTTTTAAAATTTTCATGAGTGGTATAGATATTTGAGAAATATAATTAAGTGGTTTTAAATAATTGAAAAGTGTGAAATAGTATAAAAAATTAAGTGAGACCAATTTAAACCACCAAATTAAGTGGTATGGATGTGGGTGGTCTAAAGATTGATATTATTAAATTGTACAAACTATATATATAACTTGAATTTAATTTAAATTTGGACTTAGATTACTTAACTTGAATTATATCTCTACGATAATAAGTAGGTTAGCAGATGGAAGAAACTATCAAAAAGTGATTGATGTCATGTTAGAATGGTTAGATAGCTTTGTTGAGTTGAATCTCTATTCGTTCATTGATTTTAAACTTAAACATTTACATGGAGATGATATATATATATATTATATATATATATATATATATATATATATATATATATATATATATATATATATATATATATATATAATATATATATATATATATATATATATATATATATATATATATATATATATATATATATATATATATATATATATATATATATATATATATATATATATATATATATATATATATATATATATATGATGTTAATTGAACTTTACAAACTCTAATTGCCACATCCACTTCTAACCAACTCTCTTATAACATAAACTAAATCCTAACCAACTAATTCAAACTAATACTTATAATAGTAATGGATTATTGTACATCTTATATTAAGTTATATATTATATAATTGATTTGATTTAAAAAAAAGTTAATAGCTATTTTGCCCTCTGTCATATGAGCGAGTTTTGAAAAACCCTCATTGAATTCGCCCCTTACCATATGAAAATTTCTCAGTTTTGACTCCTAAAAAAAATCCAATCATTTGAAAAAATGACATGACAAGCATTTTTTTTATTTTCTAATTTATTTTAATGACATGACATACTCAGTTGTTTTTTTATTAATTAAAAATGCCACATGACTTTTATTTTTTGTCATTATTTGACATGTAATTTCTTCATTTTTAATTAATTATTAAACTCATTTAAAGACTTATTTTATTTTCAAAACCCTAATTCATAAATGTTCAATTGAATCTGCATCTTCATCTTCTCCACTACAACATCCAACTTACACAGCCTCTAAAAACACTCCCTCCTCAACAGCTTAATGTCACCCCATCATTCAAACAAACCACGTACTGAGCAAAAATACTCTGACCACAGTCTCACTTATCTCGAACCACTTTCATCTTCTCTTCCAACATCACAAATTCACCAACTGTAGCTTCAACGTCAATCGGAAACACCTCCAAATCGGGCCGAACCTACATACTCCACTCTTCTTCAACTCAACACCTATCAAACCTTAACCAACTCGACGTGAAATCAACCACGAAATACCTTATCATCACTCTTCTTAAACTCGAAATCTCTCAAAACAACCACCGCGAAGATCATGCTCCAACAACCTTCTCCGCCGATAACACCAACATTGTTTACAAAGGTTGTTCCCAACAAAAACTCCAACAACAATCTTCCCATAATCTACAATCGCTCTTATCTTCCTCCCGTATCAGCATCTGGACAGAAAACATTCACCGCCACAACCACCGACTATGTCACCCGCGATGAGAATTCAGCTCAGCGGTTGTTACTTAAGGTACGAGGTTGTTCGATTTAAGCAAGTTCCTATGAATCAATTTATGTACAAGGTTTGTGGTTTGAGGAAAGTTGTTGATGTTGTTGAGTCTCTCGAAAACCTCTGATCCCCCTGATATCGGATTTAACTTGCCACTGTTCATCATTGTAATCAGAGGGTTTAGATGGAGCGGCGTTTTCCTCTTCGTCGAGGTCGTTGTCTAGTTCTGGTTCGAGAGGGGGAGAAGATGGTTGGGGTTAGGTTGGGAATCGGGTTTGGGTTTCTTGTTGATTTCGTCTTCAGAGAGAGACCCGAGAGAAGCGGAAGAAAGAATTGGAAGAGATTGAAGGCTTCCTCTACACGGACTCTGAAACTATCTTCCATGGTTGATTTTCTGTTGTATGATGAAGAACCATGAATAAGATAATGAAGAAGATTTTGGGGTTGGGGTGGTTCTGTCATTGATGTGTCAATGAAAAAGATAATGTTTATTTAGAATTCTGAATCTATAAAAAATATTTGGAATAAAAAATGAAAGTACACGTAATATGTATAAAAAAAATGAAAACTATAGAATACAAAATCTCAGTCATTATAAATAAATTAAAAATAAAAAAAACTACATAACAATGCACATCATTTTTTTTGCCAACTAAATTTGATGAGGGACAAAATAGAATAATCTTCATATGTTTTCATATGTTTGGAGACGAATTCAAACTTTTTTTTTTACTGGAAATTTTTTCAAAACTTACTCATATAATAGGATATAAGAGGAGACGAAATAGATATTAAGCCTTAAAAAAGATTAATAAAGCTTGCAATACATCAAGTGACTAGCTATTTACAATAATTCACATAGCTATAGTTCTGGTACAGTTTAATTTAAAGTAAAAAAACTAGTTCCAATTTATAAGAATATTTAATATATAACAATACTTATAGGTTTTTAGTATTAAAAAAAAAACAATACTTACTTTAGGGTTTACTATATATGTACACAAACTTGGAAGTAAGAAGAAGCAATACCCTTTTAATATTTGTCTTATTTTTCATATATATATATATATATATATATATATATATATATATAATACTACTCCCTATATTATATTATATAGTATATCAATTATATGCATCTTCATATATAGTTATAGATCTTCACTTCCATGTATCAATCTGGCAACTGGAGTTGGAAGTTGAAGTAGCATATTCCTGCTCATGAGTTTCAGATTTTTTTGATTCATTTGCTAGCAAAGCAATTTGTTCAGCCACAATAATATTGCCAATAACTACTTATTGTTTCCTTGGAAGCTTCTTGATCATGACTTATCTGAGAAGCAACATGTTTGTCAAATACTCTCCAATCCTTTGATTGCTCCACTACTGCTTGTAAATCATTGCTACCACCATAAAGCATTTGCATACTTTGTTGGTGGTGCTGGCTATAATATTGTTGTTCTTGATGAGTTATTGAATGTGATGATGATGAACACTGCAAATTAGGTATTTTAGGGCTTTCTAGTGGTGGAAGTTGGAGGAAATTGTTAGCATCATTAATGGATATATTGTATTGCATTTGATTCAACTCCTGTTTGCAAGGATAGTGTTGTTGTTGTTGTTGGTATGATGCATAAGAATGAGAAGAAAATACTCGGTTTGGTGTTTCAAGCTCTTGCATGAATGATACTTGATCATCATATCCACATGGTGACTCATCCATTCTTCTCATTGTTGTAGCTATTCGTTTCTTGAACACTTTGCACACAGCCCATCCTTCTTCCTGAAAATTTACTATTAATTATAATCACAATACTTTCAAATTTTGTGATGAAAATTGTGGCCAAAACATAACGATTACTATTCAATTTAGTGCTTTGATATAAATGGTAGGCCACTCGAACCAATAGACCTAATATCATTATTAGATTTTTATATTTGAAGGTCTAACTCATCCTTTCACGATCAACTTAGATGAGGGGCGTCATTGTTTATAAACTGAGTACTCGGCCAATGACCGACTAATCTAGGGGACCAATCCAATTGTGTGTAGCTGGGAGGAGTCCTATTAAAGTAAGATTAATAAAGCTCTGTACAAATCGGCTCAACACATGAATTGTTAGCACCTGCAGTAACATGAAAATCTAAACAAAAACACACTCCTAGATCTCAAACATCTCACCACGAGACCAAACCCTGAAAATATTTTAGTTATGTGCTTATTAGTATTACTATTACCTGAGGTGTAGTTCCATTTTCATTAGTTTCTAAACGATATTCATGCATGATCCAATCAGATTTCCTGTCCATTAGGAGCTCTTCCTTTATAGAAAAACAAGAGTCTTTCTCATTCCAATCAGACAAATATTGTTAGAATATATTGCTTTGTCTCTTCCCGTGGCTTTCCAGAATCCTGCTTTTGTAGCTCTATTTGTACGACTGCTAGTTGGATATTTCTTGTCTTTATGACTGAAGAAAAACCATTCAGTTTGTTCATCACTTCCTAGTTTGCATAACTCTGAATCTCAACACAAATAAAGTAACAAATATTAGTATCTGATTTATATCTATATTTTCTTTTCAATATATATATATATATATATATATATATATATATATATATATATATTAGTGTTAAGGATATAAATAATGAAGTGCGTACCTTGTAGATCCCATGGCTCAATTTTATAGAGATCAACATCTTTAATGATATCAAGATCAATTCTTTCGAAGCTATCTTTTTCCTAAGGTAGTGATCAACAAGTTCTTCATCCGTCGGATGGAAACGAAATCCGGGAGGAACATGTGAGAAATTGTTTCATATTCAAATTCAACCTGCATGCATACAACAAAGTTACATTGTAATGTGATGTGATGGATTAAATGCAGTTCATAATCAATTGATTATACTAACTCTACATCAATTCTTTGTAAAAATAAAAAATAAATTTATTCTGAAAAAATGGAAAAGAAAACAGCAATAGTAAAAGACACTCCATATATATATATATATATATATTTGAAGACATATATGTGTTAACTTTATTTTCCTTTAAAAGAAAAATGACAAACTAAACTTGTAGCACACAAAAGAGAAGGCCCTTTTTTTACAATGCAATGATGCAAAGCATGAATAAGTTTAATCAACTTTATAGGATATACCAAACATTCAATTAGTCTATTAGATCACGCATTACTACATAAAACACTTATCAAATCGGTTAGTAAAAGGTTTTCTCATCGGTTGTTTGTCTGAGATAACGTAAAGTATTATAGTAAATTCGTAGCATTTTACATCGGATGACCGGCCTAAATGAAAAATAGTTTATCATCAATAAGTGAATCTAAAGGATATTTAGGGTTATGAGTGTTGAGGCAAAATTATTCAATAGAAGTGACAGCAGATAAAACAATATCTTAGGCATGGAAAGAGCTTGATTAATACTATTGTCTGGTGTGAAACAAAAAGGAATAAACAGGGAAAGGTGACAGCATGATTTAACATTAGGTGTTGATAGACAATAAACTCCAACAAAACACACATACATGAAAGTCAGGTCAAAGATCTTATATATACCCTAAATGGCATTTAATTAGCATTTGACTTTACTATGCTTTATTCCATTTAATTTGGACCTATTCTAAAAATAGTATAGTATATATAGTTTATATAAAAATCATACAATAACATAATCAAGAGAAATTTTAAAGCATTGGATTAATTATAAATTTATAATAACCTTGATTTGCTTTCCTTAGAAGGTAAAAACTCCAATGTGTAGTGTAGATCTGATGAAAGATGAAAGAAACCTCTTAATTTGCAGCGCAAATTCAAGAGATATATATGCTAGACGATAATCCTTTCATCAACAAATCAAGAAAGAACTAAAAGTAAAACTTCTCGGGAATTGAACACAATCAAACCCTAGGAATAGGATCACTGAAAAAGATAAGTTGAGAAAGTGAAGGAAAAAGAAGAAAATGGATTGAATAGGTAGGAAGCAAAAGTGAAAGAGAACAAGAAGATATTTATAAAGATGAGAGGAATGAATTACTCCAATAAAGTGTTGCTATCAAAAGTTTCTCTCTCCTAATCTATTGAGTTGGAGCTAGATTACTGGGAAAGCTTTGAGTTTATAAAAAAAGAAAGCGTGGAGAGAGATATTCCACCCACCAGCAACTGATGATGACGCCAAAAGAATGATTAATTTGGTGTTAACGTTTGAGGTTGCTGGGCCCAGGGCCGGGACCGAAAATAAAGTGAAAGAGAATGAAGCAATCAAACCGTGAGCACGAATGGACATTCTTTATTAAGGGGAGGAAAAAAAGAGACAAAGATTGTATTGTACAACTAGTAAATGTCAATCATAGTTATAATCCAATGCATTAATCTCTTCAAAATACATAATCATATATACTCATTCATTATAATTGGTGAGTAGAAATCATAAAATGGATAGATCATATGGATTTTTCTCTAGAAGGTAATATGATCATGATCTTTGTCTTTAATAGTTGATGATGACGGTGAAGAAGAACTCTGGTATGGAAGTCTTTGGTATATTGTGTTCAATGATGGGGTGTATCTATAAACTCTTAAACCATTAAGTCAATTACTATCGTTAAGTATAAGTGTGAGGTTTAGGGTTTATGTACTGGTTTTGAGTCATGTATGTGACTTGTAGTTGTCATATAGAGTTTAAAGGCCCTAGACCTTCTGGGCTAATTGGATCAAACTCTAGTCTCGACAAAGATAGCATCTTGGTTTAACAGCAGTAGAAGATATGCATGTTATAGTCGAAACTTGTTCCAGCATGCAATTGTTTAAATTAGCTTGTTGTTTAAGTTAACTTAGTGTTTAAGTTAGTTTGTTGTTTAAGTTAGCTATGTATGTCATAACATATATAGCTAGTAGACCATAAATAGGCTGATCTCTTAGATTGTTGAGAGAGGTTGAGGTTGATTGTTATTCTGTAATACTTGTAATTATAAACCATAACGAGAAAGTAAAGAATATCGATTTTAACAATCATATTTTCTTTTTCTTCCATCTTATCTCCCCTTTGTTGACTGAATTGTTTCTTAGTCAATCAAAAAACTTTCTCGTTCTTACAGAATTACATCGTTATTGGTATCGTTTGTTACAATAAATTGGGGTGGTGAGCGTGGATCAAGATGTCATCAAGGAAATATGAGATTGAGAAATTCACCAAAGTGAATGATTTCAGTTTGTGGCGCTTAAAGATGCAGACCCTTCTAGTTTGTTTGAAGCATTGATTTCCCTAACAGAGAAGGAGAAGGCGACGATGATCGAGAAAATACATAATGTCATTGTTTTGAGCCTTGGTGATAGGATTCACCGACAAGTCTCGAAGGAGAAAAGCACTGCAGGTGTGTGGCTGAAACTTGAAAGATTATACATGACCAAATCTCTGATAAATTGTGTCTACCTGAAGAAAGCTCTGCATTCATTCAAGATGAGTGAAGACAAAGTCTTGACAGAGCAGTTAAATATGTTCAATAAACTGATTTTTGATCAGGAGAATATTGATTTTACCATTAGTGATGAAGATTAAGCGTTATTGTTGTTGTGTGCTTTAACCAGATGTCATGCTCACTTCAAAGAAAATCTCTTGTATGGAAGAGAGTCCTTGACCTTTGAAGAAGTTTAATCAGCCTTGTACTCGAAGGACTTGAGCAAAAGAAAGGAGCAAAAGTCATCATTTGTTGGTGAAGGATTGTCTGTAAAAGAGAAATTCTCGAAGAATGATGGTAAGTTTGAGAAGAAGAAGGATAAAGATCAACACAGGTCGAATAATGGTAATGCTCCTGTAATTAGGTGTTATCATTGTAAGAAGGAGAGTTACACAAAAAAGGTGTGCCCGGAGCGCCTGAACAATCATGGAGATAAGGATAATGGCAACACCTTCTTTAAAGACACTTGTTTAGGGATCAGATGTTAGAAGATTATTGAGGTTTTGGCTTCTGGAGGCCTACTAGTAGTTAATTAGCTCTGATCAAGTGTACTTCTAAGAAGTTATCATGTATTGGTTCAAAGTTCGTAGATTATTCTTTAGGGACAGTTGCCACTGGATAATTGCCAGGCGGTCTTGTTGACTTTATCATCTCTTGCTCCCAAGTGTTTATCATCGTTGTTTAGGTGTGTCCCATAGCTACTAAGTGCTAAACGTTTTTACGCATGCATAAATCAAACTTTTACTAGCCAAAAAGTACATATGTGTATGTATTCCCCTGCAAGGGTATGGAGACTTAGAGGCTCTAGTAGATATATTACATGTTTGGATGGTGAGGACTTTCTCACAGGGACGAGTATCACTATACGGTGGTTTTTTAGGCTATTTATGGGAACCATTTACGTAGGGTGAGAGGTCCGGTAAGTGGCTAGTATTCCTGGTTGCAGGAGCACGATTACTTTGTTTGAATATGTTATGCTGATTATAAGTGTAATGCTCTTTGGGTAGTGAAGAGTGTGTGTATGACTTAGAGTTTATCCCTTATCCTTTTGAGGGATAACCTATTTATTGAGGCCTTGAGAACCTAGGACTTTTACCTCCCAGATGTGGTCTTAACCATAACCCTCTTATTAGGGGAGGTTATTTACCACCTATCTTTTCAAAATTAACGGAGACTTTTTCTAGCTTGACTTCCATGTTGGTGGAGCTCTCAAGCGATTCCCCTGGGTTCTTTATGGGCGGCCCAATTGTTGAGCGAGGGTGCACTTGTCTAGGGATTTACCAAATGATCGTAAAAATAACAAGTGTACTATTTTTCCTTGCAGTAATAATAAGGAAACTCCCTAAATATCGATCTCGAGGACTACATATAAGTACCGAATTTAATCTGTGGTTCAATTAAACAAAAACTTAACTTTTGGTTTGATTTGGAATTTTATTCTCAACAATAATTAAAATAAGAAGAATGTGAAATTTTACTTTTTCAAGTATGAGCAAATGCTAGGGTAAGGTGTGTGAATTACACATTAATAACCTGACTCTTGATTTCTTCAACAAGTTCATAACCTTCAATCACCAGATATTTAGCATATTTTCCCTTAAGTTCTTAGTGGGAAAACCTTTGGTCATTCATCCTAATACCAAGGTCCTTAGAGAATTATGATGAAACCAAGCAATTTATTTTATCAAGATTTTACCAGTAATTATAGGGTATCCCTAGTCCTAGGTGATATCTACTATAGTTTAATCTTACAAAAACCTTAACAATGACGACCCAACTCTAACTATTAACCGTAAATTAATCCTAATTGGTCCGATTAGGAAAGCCTTAAACACATTGGACGACTAAACTGAAAAGAAATTATTGTATTAAAATCATGAATTCATAATCATTACAATTGCAAAACAGGGACGCCCCCTAGCATTGGTGGGTTTAGCTACTCATATTGTTCAAAAGAATTTCAAATACAATAAAGATAGATATTACAAATTGATGGTGGACTTTGATTTCAATTGCTTCCGCTCATGAAAGTATTTGTCTCCAACAATTGCAAAAACTTCAATCTTCAATCGTCTGAATTCTCCGTGTGCAAAAAAAGTCCCTTAATTCCTTGTGAAAACTCATCTAAATAGTCACAATTCATTCAGATCGATCGAAAATACCCAAAATGCCCACACATCTTAAAATATGGACAAAATAGGAAAACTCATGAAATCAATGTCACAGGCAAACATGGCTCGTGTCAGGTGACACAACCACCCGTGTTGGCCCACTGACTTTCCAATTTTTATTTTAAATTCCTAGGAGGTGCAACACGGCCCGTGTCAGGTGACACGACCACCCATGTTGGCCCCTGGTTTCCCACTTCTCTAATGCTCTCCTCCTGACACGGCCCATGTCAGGTGACACAGCCACCCCTGTCAGGACTTATATAGACGGATTTTTGACTTTCTCTGAAACTCTGAATTTTTGCACTTTTTGCCCTGAATTGTCTCGATTTATTCCTTTGAGCCTGAAAACAGTAAAACACACAACCAACGCATAAAATATGGTAAAATGAAATAAAACACTTGACAATCAAAAGAAAAGTTAATTGAAATCATCGGTAAATAATTGTGTAAAAACCACTGGTCACCAAATATAACACTACATAGTCTCTCAAACACGAGAACTTTTTCTCTAAAAGGTGAAGTATTTAAAACCACTTTCCTTTTCGGAATGCGCCCCTCTTCCAGCCAATGATTCCCATGACTAAGAATAGTTCCGTTGGGTGGTGATTCTCTCCTCATATGCGAGTGAAATCATAGGCGCGTCCCTCGGTCGAAGGCCTGTGAAATAGTAGGAGGGGTCTTTGGTTATAATCCTTGCCTAATAAGTCAAATTCCAAGCGTTCCATGTTTAGTGAAGGTATGTTACCCGAGACGTCAATCAGTAATGATGCAGATGTGATTTTTTTCATTTAATGTAATCAATGATGGTCTGTTTTTCAAAATTGCAAATAATAGTGGCACGTGTAGGTAGCGTTCAAAGTTTCATAAAACCCTGAGGGGATTCATTATTTTCCCATAAGAAGGATTTTCCTTTTCTCATTCTGCTTTACTTTCTACAAACTTTCAGTGAAGCTTTCAAACTTTCTCGCTGGTATGCGATTCTTTACTTTCTCTAATTTATGGTACTCGATCGACCTGATATGGCGGGCAGAATGCTCAAATGGTCATTGGAGCTCTCAGAGTTTGACATCAAATATGAAATCAGGAAAGACCTCAAGGCTCAAGTACTGGCTGACTTCGTGGCCGAGATGACCTCGCCAGCCTCCCCGAGCGTGGCACGCAAATGAACCATTTTCATCGATAGATCCTCTAGTTCAACGGGGAGCCGAGAAAGCATTATACTGGAAAACAAGTAAGGAATTTTGATCGAAGTCTCCCTCACACAATCTTTCTCGGCCTCGAACAACCAAGCTGAGTACGAAGCACTCCTAGCGGGGTTACGCTTGGCCTAAGATCTAGGGGCCGAACAGGTGAAAATCTTCACGGAATCCCAGCTCGTTGCATCTAAAGTACAGGGAGAATATCAGGTAAAAAATGAGCACCTCACCGAGTACTGGACTTTGGTCCAATAAAGAATGAGGAAATTCGAATCCGTAGATGTATAACACGTTCCCTGCGAACACAACACCCGGGCAGATATCTTGTCAAAATTGGCGAGCACGAAGAAGAAAAGGGGAAACAATTCAGTAATACGGGAAATACTTCCTCGACAGAGCATTGAAAAACTCTCCTCGACTCTAGACGTATGCGCTATAGGAGACAGTAACTGCTAGATGACCTTGGTATACAACTACCTCACAAAAGGATAGTTACGAATCGATCAGAAAAAGGCCAGCGTAGTCGAGTGAAGAGCTTGCTCCTATGTTTTGGTTGAGGATAGACTGTACAGAAGGGGATTCTCCACCCCCTCCTTAAATGTGTTAAAGAAAACAAAGTATCCCATATCCCGCGTGAGATCAATGAAGGAATTAACGGTCAACACCTGGGTAGAAGATCCCTGGCCAGAAAAGCATTACGGGCAGGATACTAATGGCCTCCTATGCAGCACGACGCTGGAGAGCATGTAAAGAAGTGTGACAAATACCAATTCCACAGGGACATGCACTTGGCACCTATGAGCGAGCTCAAGTCCGTTTCATTCCCCTGTCCCTTTACATGGTGGGGCCTGGATATCCTCGCACCATTCGTGGTAGGATCAAACCAAAACATATACCTAATAGTAGCCGTGAATTACT